AGTGAAGAGTTCAAGTGGTCGAGTGGTATCGCCATGGCAAGTTTTTGTGATTGCGTTGTTTCGAGTTGTGTCGTGATTGATAGCAGGCACGGTGGAATAGGTCGAGTAAAAATTTTCAGAAGTGACCTATTTTCACTGATGTTCACGGTCTTATAAGAACGTGAAAAGGAAATGCGTCCGTGAACCAGGGTGCTTCCACGTGTGTTAAACCCATCGACTAATATGAGTTCACGGTCTTAATGACCGTGAACTGGCCAACGCATCCGTGAACTGCAGGGTCGTCTTCACTTCACGACCCAAAATCTTGATAGAATTTTTCAAATCTTGGCGGAAAACCGCAAAAAACTGACAGTTGTGCTCTTTTCCCCATTTTCGGCGAGCCAATCCAAAAACCAAGCACAGTCCCATTCTTCCCTCATCAAAAGAGGCCTTCGCTGAGATTTTCGAAGGATTTGGGCCATCTTTTTCCGATGAAGTCGCCGCCGGCGATCCTCCGACGAGAGTCCGGCGATCTTCCGACAACCCTTCTCCGGTCTGTTTTTCAGCCAATGTTCACCTTCCTCGTCCTCACTTCACTTCCTCTTACATCCTACTTGAGTCTCCAGGTTGATTTTCAGCTGTACCTAATTTAATTTGGAAAGAATAGGATTAGGTAGTGAAGTGATGATAATTTTAGTGAGTTGAATGTTGAACTTAGAATTAGGGCGAGGAATTAGGTGAGTTAGGATGGTTGAATAGAGCCTCTTAGGTTATGGAGGGTTCTCTCTAAACTGTTTTAGGAGGCATTGAATGCCCAAGGAAACCCAACTCAAATCGAGTCTCTTTGGATAAAGGAGGTTTCCTCTCTAAACTAGCCTAGGAGGCATGAAATGCCCAAGAACACCCATCTCAAAATGAGCCTGTTAACCTAATGAGGTTTCCTTTATAAACTAGTCTATGAGGCACGAAATAACAAAGAACACCCATCTCAAAATGAGCCTCTTAACCTAAGGAGGTCTCTTCTCTAAGCTATGTTAGAATGGGAATTAGATTGATAGGCTTTCACACAATACAATCATTTTTGAATAATACCTCCACATTCACATTAAAACACAACCACACACAAATCATTCAATTCATACAAGCATTCACATAATTATAGCTAGGGTTTACAAACACCCAAGTGAAAGAAGGGACTACTCCATGCTAGGAGAAGGGAAAACACAAGAGAGGGAAAGTGAAACCATCAAGAAGATGCAAGCCTTGTTCATTGTGCTGAAGAAATCCTCCTTTGGGGGAGCAATTCCCAAAACCTTTCTTGGAGATGAAACCCTAGCTTTTCCTTTTCTTTGGTTCGTCACTTTCTCACTCTATAATTCGAAGAAGGAGATGTTTCTCACACTAGGTCTCTCGCTCTTCTTCCTTTTAGACTAGCCTTTTAAGTTGAGATCGCACCCAGTTCACGGCCTGAGTTCACGACCGTGAACACGCATCCGTGAACTCAGTGCTGAGACCGAAACGCACCACTTCATTGGCTCGAGTTCACGGTCAGTGGCCTCTACTCACGGTCTTAGCGACCGTGAACATCCTCGGCATCAGTAACCTGCAAACCCTCTCTGGATGCTCCTTGATTCACGGGTTTTGGCTCCAGTTCACGGCCCTGTGAGAGCGTGAACTCCAACTTCAGGCCGTGAACATTGGCTGTCTCCACCTCCTTGCCTGGTCTTTGCTCCTTTTCTTTCACCTTTCGACTCTGGGTTTGGTTTTACATGTTAGGATCTGAAACACACTGAAACACAAGCAATCTCGCGTAAAACCAACTTTTTCGGAGTTCAATTCCAACAAACGTCAAAGAGAATCGAGGATAAAAAGTCCACAATTCGGACCGAATCACTCGCCCACACTTAGACGTTTGCTTGTCCCCAAGCAAACCATTTCACACAAGGTGATTATCAACCTATCAAAATTCTTTGGGAAAAGCTTTCTCCAGCCCCTTCTCATCAATGGACTCCTGCAAATCAAAGGGCACAAAGTGGCGAATCTCAATGGCTATTGGCAATTAACACATGACCGTTGCAAGCAATACCGACATCCACCACAAACGACATTCGGGGTCAGCAAAACGGGCAAACGAAAAGTTATCACCTTGTTCATGAATCGATGCAAGTCTCAACAAGATCACTTATCAACCACAACTAACCATGCATAACATTCAAGTCCAATGAACAAATGAATGGGCAACAAATGTCCTCACCGGGGTATGATATGACATGCAAAGCAAGAATGAATCACTCACTCTCTTGACCAGTGGGGTCGGGACCTTTTTGGCGCAAAGAATGTTTACAATCATCAACACTCAGCCCTATCATCTCTTCACCATGGAGGCAACCTCTAAATTTTAGAGTTCACGGGAATGCGCACAATCATCACTAGCTTGTCTAGAGGTCTTAGACACAGGTTCAAATGACTGGCAATTGTCTTGGACATGGGGAAAAAGACTTTTTGGGTGGTGGAAAACATACCATGAGGTCATACATCTTCACCCTAAACCCGTAGGTTCTATGGTTTCGACTAAGAACCTTTCCAATAAACAATGGCCACTAGCATCGGCAAAAACCTTGCTTCTCCATTCCAACCTATCACCCATCATGAACTACGTTTAAGCGCTCTTCGTCGGTATACTCTTGCTATCACATTTTGACTTGGTAGTGAAGGAGTTCTAAAACAATATGCGGGTTTCAATGACTTGAGTGCCAATAAACCCTACTTAGAGCATACTATTCGAATCTTTTGTGGCACTCTCTACTTTATTGACCCCTTTTTATTACCTCTTTTTCATTTCTCTTTTTTCTACTTTCCCTTTCTTTCTTTTTCTTTTCTTTTTGAGGGAATACTAGAGAGTTAAACACTTGCCACACTACTCTTAACAACCAATGCTCTCCTTTAAGAACTCACTCCAACACTACTCTTTACTCTTTCATTCCTAGCAAGAACCGCACACAATCCTCCTATGTAGAACCTCAATGGAACTCAAAAGCGAGATCTCCGGGACACAAGAACGACACACGTATAGACACGAAGAAAGGATGGGGGTCGTTCTATCAAACACCATTAAGCTCGCAAGCAAGAAGCTCCTATCATGAGAACGACCCCCAAAGTCACGAGGCTCATAAGGTCAAAAGTTTCTATATAGTAGGAAACTATGAGTGATTTTGTGATCCTAAACTCTTAGTAGTTTGACTCCTAGAAGTAAGAGGAGTAGTCATGTTAGTGCATGACCTTATGACGCGAGCTAAAATCCGCAATGTTGTTAAGAGTGGATCCTATGTGTATCCATACTATTATTTAGTAATAACATATCATTGTTAAGTGTGTGAGTGGTTTATCACTCTTGCTTGTTTACCTCGATTATCATCCATGTCAAAGAAAACCCTCATGCATGCATGATGATTTTATCGATGCCCCAATGAAATGGCAAATGAGCTCGTGCATGCATTGTTAATCGAAAGATAATTGATGATTGTTATACGTATGATCAGAACTAATGCCTAGACTAGATCACCAAACAAGACAGTACTTGAGTTCTTCTTTCAAGTATGCTACCAAATGATATCATAACTTCATAACTATCTTGAGTATGATGACTCATGGTCAAGATAGGAACACTTACTAATATCGAAGGTGAGAACTTGTAGTTAGTAGTATTTCTATTAGCAATATTGAAGTAAGATAAATCCGAGCAATTTTATCTTAACTCGATGTGTTCTTCATATTAAAAACATGGTTGCACCAAGTGAAAATAACCTAACGTACTTCTACCTTGCTTCTAATCCTCTTCAAGCTACTTCTCTTCAATTTATGCATAGTAACTGTCTAATACTTCTCTTTAGATTACCTCACACTTTATTTCTTTCACACGTCTCTTTTTGTTCATTTTGACCATTTAAGAAAAAAAGTTTTTGTTGAGATAAAAAAAGATCTCAAATTCACCCTTTTAAGCGAGTCTCAACGAGCCCTTCTACTATGCTATATAGTATTGGTGCTTTAATGTACAACTCAAAGTTGTACCATAACATTAAATGTATAAGTTTAGGTTGTACCATAAAGCAATTTGTACCATTATGTTGTGGTACAACTTTACAACTTGAAGTTGTACCATCACATAAATGTACAAGTTCAAGTTGTACCATAAAAGAATTTGTACAAAAAGTATAGGTACAATCTAAAGTTGTACCATAACATAAATGTACAATTTTAAGTTGTACCATCAAGGCAAAAACCTATAGCACCAATACTATATAGCATTGTAAAATTTCTCGAGTCTCAACACTACACAATCAAAGAGTCCTAAAAATACAGAGCTTGCATATTGAGCAACACATTTTGAATGGTCATTTTATTTTCTGATACACCAACATCATCCATGGTGCTACACTATCTTCTCTGGGTTAAATTACACCACAAGATCTAGCAAAGCAAGATAAGAGATTGCATCCATAAACTTGATCTTATCAAAATGTACATATATCTTGGTGTACTACTTTAATATTATGCATGGTGGATATAACGAGAGCACCAAGTAGGTAGTTATTATGTACATACTCTAAGTGTGTCAGGGATATGACAAGGCAAAATAGAGGATTGTCCTAAAATAGGGTTAGTGAGAATTAGGGTTCGTGGAGATTTGCGGAAATCGGAATTGAAGGAGACGAATGGGAATGGAATGGGAATGATGGAGTTCGTCCAATCTCCTCTGCTTGGAAGTTCTCTTTCGTTTCAGAATTTATGGGCCAAGCTTCCAGCAAGCCCACGAGAACAAAACCAAATAAATGAAAAGACTATTCAAGCCCACAGAGGTACAAACCACTAGTTTTGTCATCTCTGTAGTACTACCAATAGAGTACTGTTAGCACAAATCCATTTGTGAAAATAGGATTACCGCCTTGAATCAATGAAAGAACATCTCTTCTTTTTGTGTTGTCTCATTGATATAAACATTTCTACGTTCTATTCTTAGTTCTCTTAAGTTAATAAATTCTCTTGGCAAATTGTTGGTTGCGATCATGGGAATCCTCTTCTGGAACTGTCAAGGGATTGGCCCTATAACAACCAATAGGCAGCTGGCTGAAACGGTAAGTCGTTACTCAATATACTTGTTGTTTCTAAGTGAAACAAAAAACGAAGATGATTTGGTGAGAGACAAAATTAAAAACCTTGGTTTTAAAGAAAATCGTCTCGTCAGTGCTATTGGCCTATCTGGCGGTTTAGCAGTGGGTTGGGCATCGGATGTAGATTGTATTATTTGAGACAAACATCTCTTCTACATTTCCTTAGAATGCCAACATCCAAGACTCGGAAGAGCTCACTTCTTATTTGTTCACCTTAGTTGTGACGTAGGGACTAGGCAAAATCAACTCAATGAATTATCTGTCATTATTCGGACTGTACTTCTTCCATTATTTGTTCTCGGGGACTTTAATTATATCCTTGACAGCTCTGAAAAAATTAGGAAGCAGATGCCCTACCCTTTCTGCCCTGGACCAACTAAGAAATTTTTGCCTCCATTCAGGTCTGCAAGACCTAGGCTCTAATGGCCCTAACTTCACCTGGACAAATCGCAGATCGGCTTTGGATCATATTATGGCTAGACTGGACAGAGTTTTAGTTGCCTCTTTGGCTTTAAACCTTTGGCCTCTTGCCAAGGTCACTCACCTATCAGATCTAGGTTCGGATCACCGAAAGATTGTGTTGCAACTCATCCCGCCTCATAATTTGGGCCAACATCGCTTCCACTTCGATAGCCGTTGGGCAAAAAATTCGGAAGCAAGACAAGCTTTGCTGACAAATGGGGTAATCAAACCTCTGGTACAAGGCAATTCAAATTTTCCAAGAACCTCAAGTCTTCGAGGCATGACCTTGTTGAATGGATGAAAAAGGGTACTTCTAACTATTCTAGGAAAATAAAAGAACTTTGTCTAGATATTGATACAGCCAGAAACGCTCCATCTGTTGACTGGGAAGCGATTAAGGGGCTTGAACGATTGTTATCATCTTCCTACCTACAAGAAGTGATTTATTGGAAACAAAAATCTAGAGTTACGTACCTTCGGGAAGGGGAGTCTAATACTCATTTCTTTCATACCATTACAAACCAGAAAAGAAGGATGAATACAATTCTTTCCCTAAAGGATGATAACGGCTTAGTTCATTTAGAGGAAGGAGCTAAAGCCAAAGTGGCAGTTACATACTTTATGGGACTCTTCCTATCTAATCAACCTTTAGTTCATGATTTCATTTTGAGCTTGGGCCTCCAGAAGAAAGTGAATGATTATATGAATACTTGTCTTTCTGCAACAGTTACAAGAAAAGAGATAAAAGATGCTACTTTCTCGATCTGGTCTTACCAATAGCCGGGGATAGATGGGTTTACTTGTATCTTCTTTCAAGCATTTTGGGATGTGGTTGGGGAATCCCTTTGCGATGCTGCCCTCTCCTTCTTTCATACGGGAAGATTGTTGCATAACTTTAATCATACGATGATCACGCTTATACCCAAGACTCCAAATGCCGAAACCATGAAACAAATGAGGCCTATAGGACTCTGCCAAGTATTCTACAAGATCATTGCTAAAATTCTAGCAGATAGGTTGAGTCGTTTCCTTCCTCTCATTGTAGGCCCCAACCAAAATGTCTTTGTGAAAGATAGATCTATCACAGACAACATTCTAATTGGGCAAGAGGTGATGCAATTTCTGAAAACCAAAACTCAAGGAAAGGAAAAATGGATGGCTTTAAAGCTAGACATGGAAAAGTCATATGACAGATTTGAATGGCTCTCTTGTTTGAGTTACTTAAAGGCCTAGGATTTGGGGATAAATGGCTCAAATGGCTAATATCATGTGTGACAACTATATCATTCTCCATTGCCTTAAACGGGTCTATCAATGGTTACTTTCATCCTCAAAGAGGCTTACATCAAGGGGACCCTCTCTCCCCCCCTCTTATTCGATATATACACTGAAGCTCTCTCTTCCCTTATAGAGAATTCCATTAGAAACTCTAGCCTCCACGGGTTACGTATTCATAGAGAAGCTCCACTGATCTCTCACCTATTCTTTGCGGATGATTCCTACCTATTCCTCCGTGCCTCCTCAACTGAATGTGCCCGTCTAATTGAAATACTTCAAGAATATGAAGTGGTGACTGGGCAACGAGTTAATCTCCAAAAATAAGCTATTACATTCAGTGCTAATGTCTTAGACTTGGAAGCTACTCACCTAGCTTGTTTACTTGGTGTGTCAGCAATTGGAGTTCATGATAGATATCTTGGACTTCCATCTCAGGTTCATAGATCTAAAATCTAAACTTTTCGGTATATAGAAGACTGTTTAGCAAACCGAATACGTCATTGGAAGTCAAAAAATATGTCTTTGGCTGCCAAAGAAGTAGTCATCAAAGCAGTTGGACAGCAACTCCCATCTTTGCGATGTCCTGCTTTAGACTCACTTCTGATTGTGTAGAAGGATGAATGGACAACTCTCCACTTTTTGGTGGGCAGGCCAAGATAAAGAAAAATGTGTATATTGGTTATCATGGTTGAATGTTGTTTCAGCAAATTTGAAGGAGGATTGGGATTTAGAGACTTTGATAGGTTCAATGTAGCAATGCTAGCCAAGCAAGCCTGGAGACTTATCTGTGAACCGGAGAGTATTCTTGCCAGGATGTATAAGGAAGATATCATTTCACCGATCATTTCCTCCTAGCCCGTCAGGGGCCCCGACCCTCTTGGGCTTGGCAAGGTATATTGCACGGTAGAGATCTTCTGAATAAAGGTCTTCGTTGGCAAGTAGGATCAGGATCTAGGATAAACACCTTACTCGACCCTTGGCTACCATCAGACCCTCCATCTAGCCCTGTGTTGTTAATGGGCGCATCTCTAGATCACCCAATGGTCTCATTTCTTCTGGACTCTAATGCTATGGAGTGGAACCTAGACTTGCTTAAAACCTTATTTCCCCCTGCCACGATTGATAAAATCTTATCCATCCCTCTCTCGTCTTCCGTTCAAGAAGATAAATTGATTTGACACTATGACAAGTCTGGTCATTATACAGTTAAATCGGGGTACCACCTTCTTTCGGATAGTTTAACTTCACCCAGGGTCTCCCTGTCAGAATTTTTGAACACCAAGTTCTAGAAATTCTTGTGGGATATTCAAATTCCTCCTAAACTCAAATTCTTTCTTTGGAGATTGGTGCGTGGATTTTTACCATTTAAAGGAACCCTCCTTTATAAGAAAATTATTTCATCAAGTACATGTCCTGTTTGCTGCGAAGTAAATGAAGACTTCAAGCACTGCTTCTTCGACTGTAGAATCACTAGAGAACTGTGGACATTATCCGACCTGGACCATATAAGAGATATGATGAAGGCAATTTGATAGGCCGTTAATTGCACATGTTTTTACCCCTATTCTTGAGCCGTTTGAGATGTTGATTCTCGTGTTTTAGACAGATTTCACGCTAGGTTGTTCTTGTTTGTGATATTTCAGGTCTTAGGACGTGAATGAAGGTTTGGGAGCGAGTTCGGGGTCGATTGGACGAAGATCGAACGTATATCGAGTCGCCGAGGAAGCCACACGGGCACTCCTAAAACCCACACGGCCGTGTAAGGAACCAATGTGGCCGTGTGGGATTTAGCGAGGCTTCACACGGGCATGCTGGAGATTCCAAACAGCCGTGTGTCCCTGGCCGTGTAGGTAGCCTGAAATCCAATTAATCGAAACTGCGCGTTTTAACTCTCACACGGGCATCTGGGTAAGCCACACGGCCGTGTGGCCTGCCCGTGTGAGTCGGGAATTCTGGTTTTAACCCAATTTCGAGCCACAAGTGAGGGGATCGACTTTTCAGAGCAAAAACAGAGCCCTAGAGAGAAAAAGTGCGAAGAACTCACCCTAGAAGCGATCTTGGAGCTGGGTTCATCAAATCGATCTTGGAGATCATCATAGGAGTGAAAATCATCATCCCAGAGCAGATTCTTCCCATTGTTATGAGTATGACTGCTTTGTATTTTGTTTCTCTCTCTCTCTATGGAGTAGACCCTTCTCTCACTTGGGTATGAAGAACCCTAGTTCCATGTGTTAGGGATCATGATTGTAATGACTTGGGATTGCTATACTGTTTGGTTTTAATCGAATGATGCATGATTCATTGAATTGATTGAAGTCTGATCAGCTTATCTTGATTTCTGCTGCAACCTGAGATAGATAGAATCTGATTAGGTTGTTAGAGCTTCATCATTTGGTAGTAGTAGATTGGCTATACGAGAGTTAGTCGGTCTACTGCTTTGTACTGGAATCCAATTCCAGTAGTGGAGTTCTGTGCTTATTGCTTCAGCTTTCTATCCCGGTGAAGACTAGTCGTCTGCCGGGTAGTTAGACTGAGAGGGCTTGGTCAACTTAAGAGATTCCAAGCTACTGTTGGATCTTCCGCAGTCTAACCAACAGTAAATCAACCCAGGGTAATTACAACTGAGACCTAACTAAGGAGCTAGGGGGACTCATTCCCGAGTGACTCTTCCTTTGCTTCAGAAAACCAAACCAATTCTTGCTTTCTTACTGCTTTTAGTTAAAACAACAATCAATCGACTTAGTTGGCTAGATAATAGATAATCACAGAGTAGGCAGTAGATCTAGACCCCGGGTTGATAATTAAAACTTGCCACTATTCTGCATTTTCAGACTGTGATTACACTTTGTCGCAGTTTGGTGTTGTGTCGAAGTGTGTCTAGTTTTTGGCGCCGTTGCCGGGGAACCTCTCGGTTATTGGGGAAACGTGAAAGTTTGTTACTCTAGCTTTTTCTTTAGTGCATTTTCTCTCTTCCACCTATGTGCCTTCACGGGTTGCTTCTACTGATTGTGTGCAGGTAGTGCATGACCCCTAGCCAGTCGGGAGATCTACTACCATTAGACCAGGAGCATGAACGAACCTGCAGGAACTTCAAGCGGGCTCTAAAGGCGCGACTGGCTGCGGAGGAGGCGCTAGCACAGCTGCCAATCGCCGACAAAGAAGAGATGGGTGATCCGCAGGACCATGATGTGGTCCTTCCTGAGGAACAGACCATGGGATACTACTGGACCGCCAGGTTCGCGGACATGAGGTCACCCATTCAACACCCTCATGTGCCAGCAAATAATTTTGAGGTGAGCACCTCTGTCATAACCATGCTGCACGGTCCGGTGGTGTTCTGTGGCAAAGATGGGGAGTGTCCCCGATCACATCTGAGGCGATTCCATGAGCTCATCGATGGAATCAAGATAAATAGGGTCCCAGCCGATGCCATCCAGCTGAGGTACTTCCCATTTACCCTAGAGGGGCATGCCAAGGAGTGGCTAGACACTCGACCTCCAGGATCTATCACCATGTTCGCCAACCTGGCAGACAAGTTCCTCACCCGCTATCATCCTCCGTCAAAAACGGCGGACTTGAATCAACTCTTTGAGGAGATGGTAGAGAACGGGTATGATTGGGGCACTGCTAGGAGGTCGAGGAGAGCACCAAGCCGAGGTGTACATGCTGTGGGAACCCACTCCTCTGATTTGGTGCAGGTTGTGTCTAAACTGGTCTCAGCCATCGATCGGAATGGGATGATTCCGGGGACAGGGCAGCAGCCGGCAATACGTTGCCAGTGGTGCGAGAGCGCCCATCATACTGTAGAGGACTACCAGGCCATGCGTGAGTCCAGGAGCAGGTGAACTTCATCAACAATGTCCGATGCAAATACCCATACAGTAACACTTACAATGAGGGATGGCGCCAACATCCAAACTTCTCCTGGAGAGGCAACAACAATCCGAAGCCACTGGGCTTCCAAGCTCCTGCAGCTAGTTTCTCAAACTAGAGGCAGCCATACCAGCCTTGGCCGTGCCAAATGCAGCAACAACAGCCACTCTATCAGCCCAGACAGGGGCAGGCTTTTCAACAGCCCCCACAGCAGCAGTACCAGCAACCTGGTGCACCTCCATCAGTCCCCGCACCGGGCGATCCCGTGTCAGTACCCAAAAGTTCACTAGTGACTACCTTGGCGAGCACTAGTACCCAAAAGTTCAACAAATTGGAGCAATTCATTGAAGTGGTTGCAGGTAAATTCATGGAGATTGAAGCTGGCCAGAGAAACCAGCAGGCATTCCTGCAGGATATGGATACCAAGATCGGGCACCTAGCAGATGCCCTTGCTTCCCGACCGGCTTGCACACTTTCTGGCCAAACCCTATCGTATCCTAGAAATCATAAAGAGGGGTTGCACGCCATTATGCTGCGAAGTGGGACTATGACTGCGGATGCACCGTAGAAGAGTGCCAAGAAGGTGACCCAGATCACCCCTGAGCCGGAAGAAGACCTGGTAATGGAAAAGGAGCCAGAGGATCAAGCTCCAAAGCCAGAACCTGTAGTGGCTGAATATAAGTCTAAGCTCCCTTTTCCCACCAGGATTCACAAAGACAGGCTAGAGGCAGAGTTTGGCAACTTCTCGTCCATGCATGTTTAAATACCCTTCATGGAGGCACTAGCTCAGATGCCTAAGTATGCGAAGTTCCTGAAGGAACTTCTCTCGAAGAAGCGGAGGCCGAGCAAGCTGGCCACTGTGGAGCTCAATGAGGAGTGCTCGGCCATTCTGCAGAACAAGCTTCCGCAGAAGCAGAAGGACCCAGGTAGTTTCACTATCCCGTGCTCTATAGGTAAATTTCATGTAGAGAGGTCATTAGCGGATCTAGGTGCTAGTATCAATGTGATACCATATAAATTGTTCAAGAAACTAGGCCTAGGTGAACCCAGTGCAACTAGGATGAGTATTCAACTAGCTGAATGATCTATAATTCACCCTAGGGGCATAGTGGAAGACCTTCTGGTTAAGGTTGGCAGATTCTTTTATCTTGTGGATTTTGTTGTTTTGGACATCAATGAGGACACAGAAGTGCCACTTATACTTGGAAGGCCTTTCCTGGCCACCGCCAAGGCACTTATAGATGTGCATGACGGGACCTTAGTCTTGAGGGATGGCGAGGAGCAAATAATGTTTTCCATTGCTAATACTCTTCCTGCTTCATCACCATTTCATGATGTTTCTCACCAGGAGCACGAGTCTGTCGTGTATCCGTCTATGCTTCCTATTTTGCAGGATTCCCCTCCCATACCTTCGCCGCCACTCCCATCCACACCGTTACCAAAGGAAAAGATCAGGGAGGAGTGGTGGGCGAAACTGCATGTAACTAAGCCTGCTTACAAGGAAGCCGGAGACCACTATGAGCGGGTCCTGCTTCGTGAGCCTCGAACACCGTGGCCATCATAGTATTCACTCGCTTACATCCTGCCGGATGGCCAAGTCGAGTTGACGAGTGCTGGTGGCCACATTCGTCGTGTGCATGGCCACCATCTGAAGCTGTACCTCAAGAACGATGTGGATCCGCTCTTGAAGGCACCCGCGCCTACACCTCTCTAAGCATCCACCTACTGGCATCCAACTAAAAGACGGTAAAGAAGCGCTTGTGGGGAGGCAACCCACCTCATTCAAGGAGAACAGATGTTTCCTTCCCTAGTGAAGGTATCCTGGTTCATTTTGACAGGGCAACAAAAATCCCTCAAGGATGTGCAACTGGCTTCATCGGCTTTTCAGGTGATGGAAATATCACATTTGCAGTTGGTAAATTCTATCAGGGCATCTCAGATGCCTATATATCAGAATTACTTGCTATTCGTGATGCTATGAAATGGTGTCTCACCCACAACTTCTTGACTGTTGTTTTTTGTGGGGACTCTCAATTGGTCATCAAGGATGTGACATCAAAGAAGGCTTCACATTCAAGAACGGGGAGCAATTTTAGAGGAAGTTCACTCTCTCTTTGCCTCCTTCCTATCTGTCTCGTGTCTTTTTGCTCCTCGGAGCTTCAACATAGCTGCCCACCTCATGGCAAAACAGGCTCTTTTATCGAGAATCCGGTTGCATACGGACTACCGTTCTTTTTTAGTGTCTTTCTTGTAATTGTGTTGACTGGCCATGCCCTAGGGGCTTATCTTGGATAAAAAAAACCCTTCATTTTCTTCCCCTTTCCAATTTTGGCAACATTGATTGTACAATCTCTGATTTCGTTCAACAATCTCCCTCTAAAGCAGAGATTGCCAATTGATAGCTGCACACAAGTCCAAATGCATTTCCCAATATATATAAACTGGAGAAATTCTATACTAAGTCTCCCCTTGAGAGCAAGCATCATCGAATCCAATCACGAGCTATAGTGTACTAACATTCAGGAGAAAAAGCCAGCAACTGAAGAACCCTCATATGACTAGGTCCATTACAAGTGACAAAACATAAAAGAACAAGCAAGCCCAACATGAATATCTATTACAGAACAACAGAACCAGCAGTTGTATCTCCCCCTCAATTTGCAATATCCTCATCAAACAGACCTAATAAGACACACCCATCACCCTTGATATTCATCAAAGGACATCATTTTCAAATGTGTTTGGCCAGACCATGACATCATGAAAATGTATGATGAATTTCAAACATTTGGAGCTAGAAAATTTTCCGAACCACCTATCATGCATGATACCGGAGAGCTAGAAATTAGATATTGGTTATTCTTTTAAAAAGAATAGCAAACCATATCTTTCAGATGGATGAGTACCAATAAATTTAGCTATTTTACACAAGATTAGTTCCTCTATCTAATTGACCTTGTACTTAACAAAGCGAACTCAGCCTATAAGCATTGATCATAAAAAAAAGCAGTACAAAGATGTATTGACTACTAAGCACTCACCAAACTTGATCTTCTAAAAACATCTAAAATCAGCACGAGATTCTGCCAGCTATGAGGTTAAGGAACTTGCTTTCCTTAATGTTAACTATGACTGCTGGAGTTTATTATTGAAATCACCAGCACTTCAGTTCTACTCTCCCTAAGAATGAACAGTATATATCAACTTGGAGTTGAGCATGATCAAAATCACATAAGAACTAAGAGTTTATCCATATTTCTCCACCTTGATTTCAAGCAATGAAACTTCCCCAGCAACCAGAGCAAACTCTCAAGTAAAGACAATATGATAATACACCACTAGGATTAATGCTCAACTAAAAAGTTGCAGCAAAGCAATATAAAAACATTAAACAAGGTGCTGCAAGATAAGAACAAAGCAAGAGATCAAAACAATGACCCCAACACATTCTTCCCATACCCGCACCTAGAACAGATAACATAAGTTCAAGAATTAGCAAAGTAGTAGAACCATCATAAGTATCAAATTAGCAGCAGTATTATCTCCCCCACAACCAGGACTTGGCAGTTGGCACAAAAAAAAAATCGATCAAAGCAGGATAATATGTTTCAAACGAAACAATGATCAAGACACAACAACTCATGCATAGGATAATTTGCTAAAAAAGCATAACTAGCTGAAACAATAAAAGAAAACCAAACCACATCAAGGACTCAATGCAAAGCTTCACTCGTTAAAACCATTAAGAGAGCGAGAGAACAAATGTCTTAAACATACAGTGGTGGGAGCTCCCACAAATGAGATGCCAAAGGATACGAATAGCTCCCAAATATAAAAGATCAAATATCAGTTTGCTTTGGAATCCAAATTTGTTTGAGTTTGGGTTTCTAACGCCACGAGTACAAAGCCTTAGGAAAATTTCTACTAATATGACCAGGCTGTAGGCAAACAAAACAGGTCAATAAACCAGCCTTGTTATAACTACTATGATGAGACCTAGTCGGTTTGAGATTGGTCCTCTTCTTACCATAATGCAGCCTATTGTGCACATACCTATGGTTAACATTCGACGTGGAATGCTTAACTCTTCTAGTAAGAATTTCAGCATAATGGGACTGCGATGGACTTAGAAGGTGAGGTCTAACTTTGTTAGGTTCTTTGACTGTAGAAATAATGCATGCTTTGCTACCAGATGAAGAAACGAAATATGATTTACGCTCTAACAGCTTGTATAGATGATTATTATGCATTCTAAGAACCTCATTCTCAGTTGCAGCTCGACAATCTTAATGTTATTTAACTTTATGGTTTTAGTAAGATTGAATACCTCAGTATCCTTTTTACGAACCTCCTCCTGAAGACAGCAATACTTAATTTTCAAGCTACGAAACTCATCCTCTAAGTTTTTCAAAGCACTGAAGAAATTCTCAGAATTTACCTTTGAAGATTCTGAGTTCGACTTTACTTCGATGTGTGTTGATTTGAAGGAAAGATCCTCATCAACATCAGATAAACCGGATTCACTGTTCAAAGTGAGAGCCATATATGCTTTTTCATATATTCTGCCATCATCTGATCTGGATTCATTATCACTCCAGGTGGCCTCCATTCCAGTTGCTTTTGCCTTCGGGCTTTGAGGGCAGTTTGCACGAATGTGGCCGAGTTTGCCACATTTGTAACAGCGCTGCGGCTCCTTCTCTTGAGTGCCTGCACTTAAGTCTCTGGTCTGTTGTGAAAGCAGCCTATCATGGGGGAAAGGTTTGTTACGATCATACAAACTAGGCTTATTCAATTATTCACCATGACGTTTCTGCCCAGACTTATACTTTAGCATTCTATGAAACTTTCGACTGACTAGAACAAATTCTTTATCAAATTCAGTGTCATTATCCGACTCATAGTCATGAACTTGAGACTTGAAAACTAAAGAGTGTCTGCGTTTTTCATCATCACGGTCAACCTGCTTAATGACATGCTCGTGATTGAGCAATGACCCGATTAACTCATCCATAGCTAGGATATTGAGGTTTGTAGCTTCTTCTATTGCTGTCCATTTAGGTAACCATTCCTTAGGGAGGAACCTAAGAATATTTCTAATCAGGTCTTTAGTAACAAAGGTCTTACATAAACCTTTTAGCTTGTTGATTAATATGGTGAATCTAGAGTACATGTCGTGAATATTCTCACCTGGCATCATGTCGAATGCCTCATATTCGTGCATGAGGAGATCGATGTGGGTCTCTTTGATGTTAGATGTGCCCTCATACGTCGTTTCCAAAGTCCGCCAGATTTCACGAGCAGATTCACAGTTCTCAACCTTGTCGGCTTCGTCGGGGACCATGGCGGACTAGAGGATATGCATGGCTCGTTGATTGAGCTGAGCGCTCTTCTTCTAAGACGCGGACCACAGGTTTTGTTCGTCGGGATTCGTCTGGATGGGACCGTTTTGAACGACGAGCCATAGTTCCTCATGAACACCCCACATAAACTGCTTCATCCGTTTCTTACATGCCGTATGGTTAGCGCCGGTGAAAATTGGAAGATAATTAAGCGCCGCCTGACCGAACGAACTGGACGTCATAAGATCTTTGCCTTGGCAGGAGTAACCTTCGTCAAGACCCGTGCTCTGATACCAATTGAAATAGGGTTAGTGAGAATTAGGGTTTGTGGAGATTTGGGGAAATCGGAACTGAAAGACGAATGGGAATGGAATGGGAATGATGGAGTTCGTCTAATCTCCTCTGCTTGGAAGTTCTCTTTCGTTTCAGAATTTCTAGGCCCAGCTTCTAGCAAGCCCACGAGAACAAACCCAAATAAATGAAAAGACTGATTCAAGCCCACAAAGGTACAACCCACTAGTTCTGTGTCAAAGACACTTCTTCTTCGTTGGATAGAAGAAAGGCTAGAACTAGAGCTGTAAATTTGAAACAGGGGTCAACAGAATGAAATCAAAACAGAGCAATGCAAAAGAAAGAGAAGGAAAGAAAATGAACAAGAACACGGGCGATTTTTAACGAGGTTCCCAAATTATTGGTCAATCCTCGCCCTAGACTCAGTACTCACTGAGGTCTAGGAGACTCTGTTTTTTTATTTGATTTTCCTATCAAGAAAGAATGAACGAAAGATGTAGACTCAATAAACAAAGAGAATTGAAAATTGAAACACCCCGGATCTCAATCCCAGACCCGTTACACCGTCAATCAAACAGAACCTCTTCCTCTGTCTTGATTAACCCCTTTTGTATTATAGCCCTATACCGCCTTTTACAAAAGTTACCTGGCAGAAGACAGAACTGTATGTATATATATATATATATATGGATACGACTCGTATGCTCCTGACACATATGATGCGCCAGACCTTTGCACCATTGATCTAATCTAACGATCATTATAAATTATAATAAAATCAATAATAATAATTACTACTTGCACCCCTTAAATAATTATACATGCGATAGTGTCCACCAACAATATTTTTCACTATATTGCAATACGTAATTTCATTTAGTCATACTTTTAATCCCCCAAAATTCATTCATATAATTAAAGAAACACAACTGCCATCAAGATTTATTCCATTACTCTACCTATTATAAGGTCCAACTTTTCTCCAAACCCTAGTTTGTTCTTCTTTAGATTCTCTTTCTTTATAGAATTCTAGATAGAAAGTTGCAGAAGGCGGCAAGCTGTATGAACATCCAACCCATTGAATCCTTTTTTCTCCCTTTCATCTTTTTACGACATCATCATCAGCAAATCAGAAAATCCTTTTCAATTTCCCAATCATCAAAATTCATTCCAACCCATTAATCATCTTCAAGCCATAAATATTTTCCCCCAATTTCACCATCATCAGAACCCTTCCCAGCTTGTTGGCCCATCGTCGATCAATTTATTTGACGACGATCCACCGCCGTATACAGAGTGAAAAATTGATATGGTTGTTTTGTTTTCTGATCGAGCTTGAAGGACCGAGGGAACTTAGTCGAATCGAGATCTCGTGCTGGGATAAGGAATTGGAAAGAGTTTATAATTGTTGGCGAAATCGAGACTATCGACAATGTCTAATAGATCCACAACAAGAAACCTTTAGATCCAACCTCCACATGGGATAAAAACCCACATCGCCATTGACCCAATTCAATCAAGCATAACCCCAAATACAAAATCCCCATTCTTGAACTAGACTGGAAATAGAGCATACTCATTCAAGAGGCGGAACATTAACCATAGCTTTGGTCTTAGAGTAGTAAGATCCAGTGAAGTTAGGAGTGTCCTCTTACTTAAACCAAATACCGTACCTGAGAGGGTGCATGTCGTCGCACTCGAAGATACAACAGTTATAGTAATTAATTATAACAAGGCCCTTGTCCTGGCAGACATCGGCAGGGGTCAGAGTGCCAAGGCGACCACATTGGTCCTGATGGTCTCGACCTTGTGGGATTCTCACCAGTCGACGTTGGGGCGGTGGTGATGCCCGCGGCGTTGAAGATGTGGGTCGGCTTGATGGTGGCGATGTCGTTCTCCAGGGAGGTGCAGTTCTCGAGCTTGCCAGAGGCGTAGGTGTAATCGATTCCATGAGACTCACAGATTTTGCCTAGGAGGCTGCCGATCCAGCCGGTTCGGCCGTAGATGAGGAACTTGAGTGGGTTGTTGCCGTTTCCGTTCGCCAATTGATCCATCTCTGGTAACTGGATATGGCTGGTCAGAGATGGTCCGGGGAGCCGACTGAGGGACGAAGAGGCGGAAGAGTAGTGTCATAGTGTGTCTTTTCGGGAGTGGGATTCGTTTGGGGTGATAAAGAAATACATAACAAATTTAGATGAATAAAAACTATCAATCATACAAAATTTAGGTAGGTAAATCTATCTACGGAAGAAACAAGGTAGTTTAATAAAAAAAAGTAATAAGAAAAATTGTTAGATGACTACATTGTACGCATCAAATTTTTAATGGATGTAGTAACTAGTTATAATTGACAATTAATAATTAATTTCATTAGAAATAATCATGCTCGTTGGATTAAATCAAAGGTGCAGATAATCTAGCGCATGCTATGTGTCAGGAGCATACGAGTGTAACCCATATATATATCTCTTCTAGCCGTTGCTGCACTTCTACATAAGGAAGGAGGTTTAATTTTGAATCTCTGCTGAGCCAAACCTTCCTTTTCTTCCCCTTTCCAATTTTGGCAACATTGATTGTACAATATCTGATTTCGTTCAACATGTCCCTCCTAATTAAAAGACATATCATCAAGCTCTTCGATGGATAGTGTCAATGAATTGGTTGGCCAACCCAATTTAAAAGATGTGAACCATTTGTGCTTGAAGTAAATAGAAATATATGGGATTAATGAAAAGCTGGATATATATGATAGATCCATGGCTTGGATATCATCGTGATAATCTAAGACGAGATTCAGACTTTACAATATGTTCCAAAAGAGTATTGACAAGTTCCTTCCCAATTTGTTTACTTGTGTGGCGTTGATGTCCTTCTGGGTACCACTGAATGTCTTTGACATTAGGATCATTTACAATGAAACAAGATCCCTACGGTTCGTGCATCATGGGCACAAATGAAAGACTTTAGAGGTGATACAAGGAATGTTAACTAATCAGAGATACAATAGGATCGCTATGCAATAAGGATTATCATGTTAACGAGATAACTATTGTCAGTCCTGATGTGATCATGATTACTTGTTGAGAAATTGGGTGTTGGAAGATATACTAGTTGATCTTTAGTGGGGGTACTCCTACAAAGTGATGTAGTTCCTCTCTAGTACAAATAAAAGTTCCACCCATAGAATTGATCACCTACTTGAGGATGTGTCTTTAAGGGCACGGATAAAGCTTTCAACCCCCCCCCCTCCCCTAAATTCATTGGCCCTCCACACAAATTGAGGATAAGGAGTTAAAAGAAGTACTCTGATAAGTGACAGAGATACATACGTTACTCTTGCTCAACTAATAAGGGTCAACTTTGGAACTGCAAGGTGGAAACCCGCTAGTGAAAATGAATGAAAGAAATAGAAAGGAAGGAACAAGGAGTTCTAACGGATCTAAAATAGAGATTAAGGGAAAAAGAGCACCCAAGAAGATGAGTCCATAGTTTTGTGTGTTTCTAGAGTCTCTTCATCTACCAATCGTGTCTCTAGGTCCATTATTTTGCATGATCCTGAATCGGGACTAGAGTTCTCGTCGAGGAAGTTGTGAGATATATTGTGTATTAGCCCATTACTTTGCATGATCCTGACTCGGGACTACAGTATCCCCGGTCAATTGATGTAAATCCCCGGGCGGGTGTTTTAGTGGCCCGACTGGGTAACTTAGGAGGATCACCTATCCATACACTACATTTTGAAGTATCCACGAGTTCAATGGGAATTACTCGCCCGGGGAATCTGTCTTGGGTTGGTTTAAAAGAGAATTTCGAGTTTTGGCAAAGGATATAATTTTTTACTTCAAGAACAACCTAAGAGAGCTATAGTGAGAGAAAGAGACGAACGAAAAAGACCTTGGAGTTGATTTGAGCCACTATTTCACCATTAAAGATTGATTTCGCCCCTCAGAGAGCAACTGACATCCCGAAGATGATCATACACATCTTCATGAGTATGAATCCTTCGATTATGTTTTCCACTTTCTCCATGTAGTAAACCACTTTCTTTCACTTGGGTATGAAGAACCTAGATCTGTATGTTAACAGCAATTTATCAACCTGAATTCATGACTTTGTGATTGTTATATCTAATTAAGGCATTTTCCCAAACACCCAAAACTAGGCGCTCACCCCTGCATCCCAACTCGCTGAGAGGGCAACGAGTGAGGTCCTTAGTTAGAGCAAGTACCAATGCCTATTTATCTAATGAATCTTTTCCACAAAATTTTGTCAAGTGGGATCCTAGGGCCACTTTGCTCTTGCCTTCCTTCAACCACTACCCATGACTTTGAATTGATGGCAGATAATGTATTTTCAACTCATAGCAACGCACTAAACCATTATGAATTGAAATGTCGTTCGTTTCAATCTCTGGCATTCTTCCTTGGCCTTCAAATACAAGTTACAATATCCTTATAAGTAAACCCTTGTTCAAGCGAGGGACAAATCAAACCACACAAAACTGATAGACCCCCGCCCACTTCAGAATAGTACGCAGGCAAAGTAAAGGAAACAAAGAGTACCTATTTCTGCTTACTCTTTAGGTTAGGTAGTAGGTGGCGATGAATATGCAAGAAAAAAGCCTACAAATATCTTCCTTTCTTTAAGCTGGTTCCTTACAGTTACAGGAAGGAAGAACCATTTGCGTCTTCGTTGCCATTGTATCATGCCCTGGCCAACGTGATATGAACATGATGATCCATTCCATCTAACATGCGCAGTAACAAGTCACCACCACCAGTCCACCACTTCCTTCAAAATGGGCGGATGCACCAACTCAAAGGAGACTGTTAGGTGGGATTTTTATTTATGGTGGTACCTTTCTGTCTATCTATCTTGGGCTTGGCATAGTTGCTTGCTTACTTCACTTTGCCAAGTCATCTAATTACTGATGCCATGGCACAGTGAAGTGGAAATTCATTCAACTGACAAAAATATCTAGCCAACCTCTCTTGTGCAAACTATAGTGGTTGCTGTTGGTATTTAATGTTGATGGCCTACCCTTCATGGATGATACAACAAATACATATTTAATTCACAAGAGATCCAGATGCAGCAGCTCCATAATGGTAGCAAAGCATCTGTTTGATGTACTCGAAACCATTGCACCCGAACTTGGGTCATTTAATTAAAAAGGTTAAGTTGATTGCAAGGCAGAGTAAAGGAAACAATATCCGCCGGCTGTAAAAGTGGAAACCTTATACCCTGTGGTGGTCAGTTCTGAAGATGGATCAGGTGAACTTCTAATACAATATACGATAGTGTTCTCAAAACTTTATACATATTCAGAAGATATACCCTAATCTAGATCATGATCGTTCACCCCACTGAGCTGCATAAGCTACAAGATGCTGTGGATTGCCGGGTGGGGGGCAGAACTGATCGATCATCTGAAAACGATGATGATGATGATGATGAACATATAACAAAGATCGATTTGGGGCGGGTAATCAATCAGATGGAAGGAAGAAACATTATGATAAACAAATTTACAGAGGTAAGACGAATTAGAGATCTCTTCTGCAAAGAGGGCAAGATGCGTGGCGGAGTAGCCATTTATCTATGCAGGGCAGATGAAACATGTGGTGACAATGTGGCAAGCTTCTAACTGTCTCTCCAAGCTGGAAGTCCTGCACGCACAAAATATGCCAGAAAAAAAAAATGCCAATTAGACCTTCCACCAGTCCATCTCAGTTTCACAACTATCAATCAAACAATCACACCTATTACTTTCTAGTGTCTAACTAGAACACTGATTTCTTCAAAAGGAAAGGAGAGATAAGAGAGAGGGAAGCAAGATAGCTGACAAAGAGAGCTAACCTGAAGGCAAACTGAACAAGAAACTCTATCCCCAGAACCATCCACATTGTTTTTGCTTGTGATCTTGATTTTGGGGATTTTCTCCACTGAATCTCCAGCAAGTCCTTTGGCACCACCTGTGTCAAATAGGTTCGGGACCTCCTCAAAGCTTGTTTCTACAGCTCCCATCTGATCAGATTAAGGACCAGATTAGTAATCTGCCAAGTTGTCAAACAAAATATTCTTCTGAAGCAACTAATCATGCAGGCTTAAACTTACTTGACTTTGCACCGCGCTTAACATGGCAGGACCGATTCGCTCCCTCACAAGCCTTCCACTAAGAAGACTGGCAATAACATCAATCTGTCATCCACAAATACACCGAGTTGGTGACTTGATCAATTGTGTGTAACAGGCAATTTGAAGTACCCAGTGATATTCAGCTTATAACATGCACCAAATGACTGGATGGATATATGGAACGGACAGAAATAAAGAGAAAATTTGCTTACCAAGTACAAGATGCAGCCAATGCCTGATTCATCAGACTGCCAAAGGACAAGGGAAGATTCAAAGACTTCAATGGAGAAAACAGCACCAGATATGGCACCAACAGCAGCCCCTCTAACAAATCCACTCTCAGTTTCTTGACCTATCAAAGCTCCTGTCATGGCTCCCAACAAGGTCCCCACTGCAGCAGAGCATCGAAACACACATCAATCAATTTGTTAGATCCAAGAATGAAACGAAGCACATTCTATATTAGATACCAGGCAAGAATATTTTCTGGCAACAATCTAACAAATACAAGTTCCTGAAGATTCAAATACCACCCTTCTGGATGCTCCATAAACATTACTGAACCCTCCAACAGGAAAAACAAAACGAAATTCTGCATAATTTTCCCCATGAAGAAGACACTTTGAGGAGCCTAAATAAGATAGAATTAGGAGAGAATCTAGCCAGAAGCCAACAGCAAAAACCCAGAGGAAATGAGACCAGGTCCTAAAACACGAAACCCAGATACTCAAGAGTCCAATAATTCCATTTTAGCGACAGCAACAAAAGACATAACCTCATTTCCCAGAGCACAAGCGAGGAAACGAATAATAGAATTGGAGAAACCAACAAAGAGCAGGGTAAGAGAAGGGAGGCAATAAAAACCAACCTAATGCGAAGAAGAAGGTGAAGATCGCGGAGAAGACATTCCCAATAACCGCAGATAAGGCGAAGTTGCAAACTTCCTTAACTCTTTCGACGAAATCCCGACAGCAGGACAGAGAAGACACAGAAAACCGAGGAGGGTATGGATAGAATTCCATCTCTGCTTTCCCCTTTTTATTTTATATATTTATTATTTTCTCCAAGCCTTCCAGACACAAGATTGAGGTACAAGGAAGGAAGGGTGTTGTGTGATCTACAAAGATTTAGGCTTTAAGGTCGATATTTATATTGGACGCACAGACAAGGAGAGGGAGATGGCGGAAAAGGAAGGAAGGAAGAAGGGCTTTTAACGGGGATGGATGCTTAGGCGTTAAGAGAGAGGAAAGAAAGAAAGAAAGAAAGAAGAAGGAGGAGGAAAGACTCCCATCAACCAACTCGCATTTAAAGCCTTTCCCCAAACAAATTTCTTTGTTCCTTCTCCCCTTATTATCACTTTCTTCGTCCCTCTCTCTCTCTACCCTTGTCGCAAATTGTCTCTCTGTGCGTTCCGGAAGGACTTTTTGGAGCTCTAAGTTGAAATGTATATATAAATTTCGCTTTCAGAAACCCACGGGAGCGAGGGGAGAGAGAAGAAGAAGAGAAAATTAAAGCATAGGGAAGAAATTGTGACCATAACAAATAAGCTGCGGGGCAACAAAATGAAAATTTGATCACAGAAACGAAACCGAAACCTGTCAAATATGTAAGCTTGATTTCCAATCACACGTTTTCCTTCTCCTGCATCAAATTAACAATATGGGAGGGAGAGAATGAAATGAAGAGCCAAGCCAAAGGTACGAGCTCGGATCGGATGTGGGGATCCGAATGCTTGGATTTCTCTGTTCCTTTTTTGTTCTGATGACCAACTTTTTTGTTAAAATAACTGTTTAGGGTTGGCCACTACTGATGACTCATCTCACGGCTAACATATCTCTCATTTGTTTTGTCTTTTTGTTTTGTTTTCTTTCTTGTAGCGCTAATCCAATTTCAACCTGGTTTCGATTGAACTCCATATCACCACCGAACGCCAAGAAAACCTGTCACAGATAATTTTCAAATCAAGCCAAACCTATACATATGCACTAGAACGAAGCGGTTTATTAACTGAATGGCTAAAAGTCGCCCTAATTTTACTATTGTCATCCTAAATTAAAATATAAAATTATTTGATTAACCTTAATAAATTAATCGAAAACCAACAAAACCAACACCCTTAAAACTAAAATCCCTAACCCCGAAGAATATAGGAGCCGAGTTTCTGGGCATCAAGCAGAGATCATCATCAAGTAATAAGAGTAACTGAGCAAGATTGCTTTCCCTAAGCTGACGCATCTGGAGTTTAACATGTTCGTTTCGTGGGAGGATTGGGATGGGTATTCATACTTCATCCCCATCAAAAGCTGAGTGTCCTCCCCAATCACCGCCACCCAATCCGTCGACAAAGAGATTCGACGGAATAAAGAAGTAATGTCTCGTCGTCGAATTTCCCCCGCTTCACTCGCTTGCTCGGTTCCACCAGAAAAGTAATTTCGCGTATGGCTACTAACAAGGCCCCCGCCTCCTCTGCTAGGCCACCGCAGAGAAGAGGCTCGTCTCCGCTCCCGAAGCGGTTCAAGAGCCGGACTTTTTAGGCCTTCACCTGGTACTTGTAATTCATATTTGATTGATTAAGAAATGGATCGATGAACTGATTGTTTATGAGTGTTGGTGATAGTTTCTAGTTTCGCACAGTGCTTGATCTGAGGCTTCAAAATTCAAGGGGTTAAGGAGAAGAGAGTACAAGATAAGAGAAAGAGGTTAAAAAGGTAAATTTAATTAGGGCGATGATTCGCATTCCCCATTAACTGGAATTTTTGAAAGTAAATATATATTTATTGGATATGATAAACTAATCCGAAAAAAGTTGTTATTGAAAAATTAAAAATGAATTATATCATAGAGTTTTCTCACATTCTAACTAATTCACGCATGTAAAATTCGTCGTGTCGATGTATTTAACATTTTCTAAGATTCGGTCTTTAATTATCCCTTATCTTCATAAATGCGTACTCACTTATGAGGTTCGTGATGTTATACTCGGTGAGCTTGATGTCGAGCTTGAACTCCACTCCTCAATTTGTACTCTCTTTTTGCCATTGTATTGTAATATTTTTTTTTAGCCAACATTTCAAAATATTTAACTCCATTGCGATCCAGAACAACAAAGTTAATGTCGTCTTTGATATTTTCATACAATTCCTACGTAACTATTTGTCAGGGTCCTCTTTACCTTTTTGTATACATGTTCACATAAAGTATAAAACCAACTTTTGCATTAGATGTTATACAAATTTCTCTAAATATTGAGAAAGGTTTAACATTTGAATATTAATGATTCCTTACATTACAACTGGTATTTATCTCCTCTATATTCTTCATTTCCCATTCATCGGAGTTCTTGTCATGTTTAGTCTTGATTGGTGGTTGGGTTTCACTTTTGACTCTCATTAGAGGATGAGGTGCATATGTATACAAAATTTTATTTTTCTAAAACTCCCAGCTTGTAACACACAACAAACATACATAGATTCAAATACCTAAATTTCACATTTACCCAAACTCAACCGGTTTAAGAATTTGTAGACTTGTCAATAGCCAGGTAGCTACAAATTATATATTAGCACTAAATAAAGACTATCATTAGTGACGAAAATTAGCGACGACAACTAAAATTCATTGCTAAGAATGACTTTTAGTGGTAAAATTTTATTTTTGTCAATAATGCTTCTTCAACTATATGAGCATTTGTGGCAAAAGCTAATCTCGGTAAAGAAGAAAATCCTCGTCACTAAGCTCATTATCTTGAGAAAAGTTTGGCACCATCATTTTTTCTGACGAATAAAACATTATCGTCAGGAATGTTTCCTCAAGTTATTAATGTGTACCTGTGACCAAATCTATACCCGTCGGCACGAAACTACACCGCGAATTAATGCCGACTATAGCCCAAGTTTTTAAACTCTAGTCGGGTGCACTATAGGCCAAGTATTTAAATTGTCAAACCGGGCCGGTCCATGTACCCCTACTTCAATCGCTTAAGTTGTTATCTAGCAAAACGGTTTTGGGTTTAAAACTAATAAACCTACAAATGAAAACAAGCCAGTAAGGTAAATCGAGGTTATCCCAGTGATATAAGAGTTCAATCGGGTGTTGCTCCCCCTAGCTAAAAATTACGACTTGAAGAATCGAACGACCGTGCGTGGGTTAGGGGGTCATAAACCGCAGGAAAGTCTAACAAGCCGCCGAAGCTGCCCACTTGGCCTCTAGGTTGAGGAATGGGATACGATCCAAGCCACTAATGTGACCCTCTCAACCTATCAACTAAGAAATTGTTAGACTTCACCCTCGAATTAGAGTTCAGACGGTCACCAACAACCAAACCCTAAGTGCTAATGCGAATTAGGGGGTTTGCCCTTTAACTAAGCTAGAATAGGAGGCATAGAATGCCCAAGGAAACCCATCTCTAGTAGAGCCTCTTAAGTTAAGGAGGGTTCTCTCTAAACTAGCTTAGGAGACATTGAGTACCCAAGGAAACCCATCTCGAATGAGCCTCTTAGATTAAGGAGGGTTCACTCTAAACTAGTTTAGGAGGCGTTGAATGCACAAGGAAACCGAGCCGCTTGGGTAAAGGAGGTTTCCTCTCTAAACTAGCCTAGGAGGCATGAAATGTCCAAGAATCCCATCTCAATATTGAGCCTCTTAACCTAAGGAGGTTTCCTCTCCAAATTAGCCTATGAGGCGTGAAATGCCCAAGAACACCCAATGAAACTCTTAACCTAAGGAGGTCTCCTCTCTAAGCTAGGTTAGAATGGCAATTAGATTGATAGGCTTTCACACAACACAATCATTTCTAAATAATACCTCCACATTCACATAAAAACACAACCACACACAAATCATTCAATTCATACAAGCATTCACATAATTGTAGCTAGGGTTTACAGCACCCAAGTGAATAGGTAGGCTAATCCATAGCTATGCAAAGGAAAACAACTAAAAAGGAGAGAAAGAACCATAGAGAGGTGGAAATCTTCCTCCCTTGTTGCTTGAATCTCCCTTGAGAAGAAGAATTCTTTAATCCCCAGCTTGAATTGAGCGCAATCTCCTTCTTCCTCCTTTGAGTGTCACTTTCTCTCTCTAGAATGGGAAGGGGAAACCCTAATCTCTCACTAGAAACCCTATTTATTCTGAAAACTAAAACCCTACCTAAAAGCTCTCCTTTCTCCTTCAGCTCCCTTCTCCTTTTATACCCAGATCGGGCTCTGTTCACAGTCTAAGACCTCAGTTCACTCAAATCAAGGTCTTAGAACTCAGTACAAGGTCTTAGTTCAAGGACGCGTTGATCAGTTCAAGGTCTTAGTTCAAGGATGCATTGATCAGTTCAAGGTCTTCCTTCAAGGACGTATTGATCAGTTCAAGCTCTTAGACCTCACTTCATAGCCGTGAACATCAAAACGCATCCTTGAACACAGTGTGCTGAACCAAAACGCACAGCTTCACATCCCTGAGTTCACGGTGTGAGGCTTATGTTCACGATCTTAGCGACCGTGAACAACCTTGGCATCAGTAACCTCAAAACCTTCTCTGGACGCTCCTTTATTCACGGATTATGGCTCCAGTTCACGGACCTGTAAGACCGTGAACTCCAATGGCAAACCTTGAACACATGCGATTTCCTCCTCTTTGCTCCTTTTCTTCAAACTTTCAAATCTGGGGTTGGTTTCACCTATTAGAATCTGAAACACACTGAAACACACGAACCCTAGCATAAAATCGCCCTTGAATCACTCCCTTACACTTAGAGGTTTGCTTGTCCCCAAGCAAACCAAGTACAAAACAAGGTAAGCTCACAACTTCTTTTTCAACAAATTTTTGGGGGATGTCATAAGGCATAAAACAAATGGATTACAATGGTTATTTCACACCAACTTTTAGACAAAAACAAAGTAATCATGGCAACCACCACAAATGACATTCAACTGTATTAAGATTTTGCAAAAGAAGAGTTCTCACATTATTCACGAACCCACACACAACATGCTTCGACGACTCACCAATCATAGTTACTCATGCATGAAGATCACATCATATGAATGAACGATCGAGCAACCTAGGTCCTCAACGGGGTATAAGAAATGAACAAAACATGACGAATGAATCACTCACTCTCGGCCAGTGGGGTCGGGACCATTTGATGCAAAAAATGTGCATATTCACGCTAAATCCTAACGTCCCTTTACCATGTAGCCTCTAAATGCTAGAGCTCACAAGATGGGCGTCGTTGCTAGCTTTTCCGCAGGTCTTAGACACGGGTTCAAATGACTGGCTAGGATCTAGGACATGGGGAAAAAGCTTTTTGGGTGGTGACAAACGTAACATGAGGTTCCACATCTTCAACCTAAAACTAAAACAAGTTTCTATGGTTTCGACTAGAACATTCTTCTACAAGCAATGGCCACTAGCATCGCCCAAAAACCACA